ACAAAATTCAAATTTACAAAGAAAAAAAAAAAGAAAAGAATCTTACCTTACCAATTATTTGCATCATTCGTTCTTCGCATGTATTTAATGATCGATAAAAAATTGTAAATTCACCAATGGTCATTATAAATAATCTCATAATAGCCTCAAATGGTGTATGCAAAATATTCTCCCAAACATTTGTTTGAGTACCATACTTTGCTTTACTTGCTCTTTCACATGCACCAAAAATTACATAAAATGCTTAAATAAAAAATTTAACAAATATATTTGCAAAAGTTTTAAAATTAAAAAAAAAATTATTTTGTTGAAAATTGAAATTTTTACCAAACAAAATGCATTTTTTTTTAAAAAAAAGAAAAAAAATGAAGTTTACTTTTTTTTTCAAAATTTATGCTAATTTCTATTTGTGATATAAAAAAAAGAAAAAAAAATGAAATTTATGTCTTTTTTTTTTTCAAAATTTATTCTAATTTATATTTGTGATATTTTCATTTTTTACAAAATATTAAATGATTAATTTTAGAAAAATTAAGCTTCAAAAATTGGGAATTTTTTTTTAAAACTTGAAAATTCTCTCTTTAAAATTTAAAAATTTAAAAATTAAAAAATTTCAAAATTTTTTCGAAATTTATGCTAATTTAAGCTTTGCAATACATTACACTCATTTTATCTTGTCTAAATTTCTTTGCTTTTAATGAAATTTTAAAAGTTATGATAGATTTAAATCAGCGATATTTTAGGCTCTATAATGTAAAAATTGGACAAATGCAGCATGCGAGAAAAAGTAAACGAAGAATTTCGAAAGAAACAAAAAGATTAAAATTAATATTAATTAATTTAATGAGAAATAATAATTTTTAATGATGAAATATTTTCGAATTTGAACAAAATATCAAATTTATTTCAAGAAAAAAAAAATTTTTTTTTAGAAATATTAAAATATTCATAAATGAAAGATAGCAGAAAGAAATGTAAGCGATAAGTGATAGGTGCAAGTTGCTTAAATAAAATTAGCTAACTTGCTTAAATTGTTGCCTTTTATAGGATTTCAAAATTTATGCTAATTTAGGTTTATGAGACTTTAAGCATATTTTTTATCTTGCTTAAATTTTTGATTTCAAATAAAGCTTTTAAAGTTATAATCTAAATCTATGATAATTTATGCTTATAATTTAAACATTAGATCAATGCAAAATGAGTTAATTAAAAATTTCTATTTTGTTCTATTTTTATTCATGCTTTTAATCTGGAACTTTCGAGAAAAACATTGATCGAAATATTTGACAGTTAAAAAACTTTTATTGAATAATTTATTTTTTCTTTCCTTTCAATTATTCATAATCTTTAAATTATAATAAATTTAATTAGCAAATTAACAAACACTGCGAGAATCCAATGAGAAATATCGAATAAATAAGTATGAAACGGCTTATATCACGTGAAAGTATGGTATAAATCATTAAAACAAATGGCCCAATAAATTTTAAAGCTCTAAAATGTGTTAAAAATTAATAATAATAATAATAATAATAATAATAATAATAATAATAATAATAATAATAATAATAATAATAATAATAATAATAATAATAATAATAATAATAATAATAATAATAATAATAATAATAATAATAATAATAATAATAATAATAATAATAATAATAATAATAAT